TACGGGACAAATATGTCCAATCAGCAGACCATAGGCAATGTTGTGGCATACTCTGAATCAACATGCTGAAAGGAGAAACACAAAGAATTTGCATATTTGCATAATTTCATTGTATGCCATGTTGAACACAAATTCGCATGGTTTATGGTATGCATGCCGTTTGGCCTGTCTTCAAAAGTTCCAGACAGAGAAAACAGAACTTAAAATTCTGTAAGAATAATAAAGTAATGCTGCTGCTTTTTTTATATTTTTAAAGCGTCTTAAAAACAGTGTGCCTTCAAGCGCTGTTAAATGATCCAAATGAGCATCCTCATTGAGTCGGGGAATAAAACTTCAGAAAGCCCCATGCCCAGAGGCTTCTTCATCAATCAATATCCTGCTAATGAAGAGGAAACCCATGAGAAAATACTGCTAGCAATTTAAAGAACTATACAACAATCGGCATACAATATATAGAAAAGCTCTGTTACTGATTGTAGAATATTTATGCTTTCTAACTTTGTCACAGGTTAGAGTTGGGAAATCGATTTTGTAAATGATTAATTTGTGCTACAAACTCGGCAAAAAAGCTACAAGAGAAAAAAAGTAACAACCACAATTTTTCTAAATACTGACACCTCTAGAATGACGCAAATCCAACAGCATTAGAATGGACTAAAACCTAATCAAGTTACTACTAAAAGATTATTTTTTCCTCCCTTCCCTCAAGCCCCTACCCTCTCAACCCCCCCACATCAACAACATTTGTTTCTTTAAATAAATCAGAATCCTCCTACTTTCTGCTAAATGGACTATGGCGTAATAGAAGAAGTCAGCACTCACGCCCAGAGGGTTTTAATAATAAATAATAAATAGCATTTGTATGGCGCCTATCCCCGCTCAACAGCAGGCTCTATGCGCTTTACACTATATTATTTAAACCTTGTCCTAAGTGAAGAGGGAGTGACCATAACTTCATCATTCAGAAAACTGCAACATGGAACCAAATGTGCTCAAAATGCTGCTCTTGAAACAAAAAAGCTGCGTCTCATCTCTTTTAACAGTTCTTTCACATAGCCTTATCAAACAAACAGTGCGTGGGACGATTTGTTCTCTGTGTAGGGAAATTGACAGAACGAAGAACTAGACCTGCCTTCTGAATGTTCCCATTCCCAATACGATTTGCAGATTTGTTGCAAGGTGTGACAGAAACCCTACTGTTTCCAGGAAAAATGTACGGACAGTAGCTTCCATAGAATGGGTTGAAACGTGGATCATAAGCAGTTCTAAATGTCTTTCACTGCAAAGTTTCATCGTTGATGTCTCAAACAATCCATTTAAGTCCGTGTAGGTACTTTTTACTAAAGAGACAAAAATAGTTTTTATCATGTTGTTCCTGTCAGAAATCAAGAAAAGCAAGAAAATTGTAAGCCTCGAACATAGCACTAAACAGAATTTCAGCGATGTTGAGAAGTGCTTTTTTGATAGAGCTTTGGGAGGGTGCAAAAATTGAAAATTCTCAAAGTTTGGACTTAAGAGGATTGCTTGCAGCAGTGACATCACGCTTCAGTTGTATACCCAAATTGAGATTCACACGATGAACACAAGAGGCAATTACAAAGCATTTACTTTAAAAAGAAGGAAATTACACAGCTCTTTCTCTCTTTAAGAAATTACTGTCATAGGCATTACAGTCTGAATCTAGCACAAAATAAATGTCATACAATCTTCAAACTGGAACCAAAAACATCTTTTACATACACTATCTACATAACACTTTGCACTGAGTGCAGAATATATGACATCTGTACAAAAATCAAAAACTTGAACTCAACATGAGAGTACACATTTTACAACAGGTATATTTGCAGAGGGTCAGCGCCAAGAGAACAACAGAATTCTCGTGCATGATGAACCCCGTGAACAATATCCCAAACATTTATTCAACTTTTCAGTAATCACAGTGTTAAACTGAAGGATATAAGCCAGCCCGGGGAGCTGGCAAATGGAAGGGAAGGAAGCATCACTTCAAAATCTGCAGGAAACGGAATGTCAATAAAGTACATAATGACAGGTCGAAAATGCTTTTCATTAAACAAACAAGACCTTTCGATTAAAAAAAAAAAAACAATTATCAAAAAAAAAAAATCTTGTTTCTTCGCTCATTTGTTGGAAAGGCTTCATGACAAAATTTATCTGGAAAACTAAATAAGAAGCAAGAAAACAGCATTGTGCAGCTCAGCTGCTTGGTATATCGTAGCCCCTCACACTGAAAATCAAACCTCGTCGGCATACCAGCTTGAGAGCAACTACACGTGCTACGCACAAATGACTTGACTCTGCTCACTTTTTTTCCACCTTCTTTCTCACTTCATATCTCTCTCTCTCTCTCTCTCTTTACCTTTCATACACATATCATTCAAATAGCCTTAACCAACCAACACATGATGGGGGAGGGTGGATGACATGGGTTCAGTAAAAACTAATTTTTAAAAAACGAGTAATATTTGCTGAGGGTGGGAAGTTGTTACATCATGAGAACAGGCAGAAACTCTTGGAAAAGGAAAGAGGCGGAAAGGGAGTTGAAAGGGAAGGGATGGGTGGAGTCAAAATGCTATGACTATGAGGACTTTGAGTTATGATGTCAAACACACAAAAGAAGCACTGCATGCAGACCTATCAAGTACTCCAATAAAATCAGTGCTCTCCCACTTGTTTTTTGACCAACAAAGAACCCTCTTCAGATATGACTGAAATACAATTTCCAATTCTGTCAGGTTGTAAGCAACTTACCATAAATGACACGCATATACATGTATATTTTTACATTTATTTGCACAAGCTATCCTGGATAACACGAAAATATACATTTTTAATAGCATTGATTTACACGTGTACATTCACAATACATATTTATTTACCACGGTCAGTTTGTTATCTTAATCTAAAAGGGCTCGGGAGACTCCAATCCCCCCCCCCCCTCCCCCAAACAAATTCTTATTTTTAAGGGAGGATTTTGAGAAAAATTTCTTGGTCATGGAGTGATTGGTAGGTCTGCTGCATGATCTTGTCAGATTCCATTTTCTACGCAGGCATTATAACAGTCTCTTCAGTCTTTAGTGTGTGACAGACACTCCTTGTTAACAAAACGTCCTCAAGTGTCGGTCTAAAAGCAAACTTACTTGATCAAACAATTTTTAAAAAACAAAAAAACTCTGAAAGCAGTAACATCCATATCACTCAGCAGTGAAAGATAGATATATATATATATATATATATATATATATATATATATATATATATATATATATATATATATATATATATATATATATATATATATATATCTCTCTCTCTGCAGGCTGCAATGAGACCTAGGCCAGATTAGAATATAGAACAATTTATATATATAACAAACTCGAGAAAACAGTCTTCACTCACATCTTGACACACCATAATCAAAACCTCTATAGAGATGTCTTTACCGCGAAGAGCGAGGCATTCATCATATCGCAATCGACAACAATCAGCGGGGAGGAAAACTGAAGTTAACTGTTGCATGAATGAACAATCACATCACAATATGGAAGGTGCACTACTCAAAGAGTGACTGTTATACAGATGAACTGTACAGGCTTAATGCTAGTATATATATCGACTGTTACGAATGAAATTTGCCCAAATGCATTGTAAATAGTATCAGGGGATGATGAGATAGAGGCAACAGACATATAATTTTGTCCAGCAAAATCATTTCATTGAGGGATGACTGATTTAATCAAAGGTAGGAGAAGGGCAGCTGGTGTCGAAAAGCGTAAGTGATGATGTACTTGTATACATTTATAAAAGAGTGTTTATGTGTGTGTGTGTGTTTGTGGTGTGTGGGTGTGTGGTGTGCATGAGTGTGTGTCTGCACATGTGTGCAGTGTTTGTGTGTGTGTGAGTGTGTGTGTGTGTGTGTGTGTGTGCACATGTGTGCGGTCTGTGTGTGTGGGTGCGTATGCTCATGTGCAAATAAGACTATTACACTATACATCACAAGTTTTGTACAGGGAGAAAAAACACTGCATTTGCATCAATCATTTAGTCACACTCTACTCAGGCACACTATGCTAACACTTCACTATCTCAGAGAAGTATATATAGACTGCTTTAAAAAAAACCCACCAAAACCCAGAGGTTTCTTTAAACAATGCAAAAAGGTTACGGTGTTGGTACCCTTTACAACTTCTTGACTCTTAGAGGACATACTATAGTTGCAGACACAAATGTCCCAACAGCAGCCAAACAAAGAAAAGTTGCAGCTATTTTAAACCAACCCACACAAATCAGAAAAACGAATTTGCATATTTCATAACATGCATCTGTATTCCTGCCTTTTCGACTTTAAGACTAAGAAAACAAAATTGAAACATGTGCATAAATAACGAGGCTGCACGTTTTCTTGCTCAAAGCGCCCCAAAACACTACATTTTCCAGTGTTGTCGAATGTCTTGGATGCGCAGCCTCAGTGACCTAAAAAGAAGCTGCTCGATAGTGAGCATTATAATTATCATTCAGGGACTTCTGACACATGGCTTAATCCGCTGATGGGAAAAGCATACAAGCAGCAAAACCAACAAACAGATGTGAAACAAGCAGGACAGCTATTGAAAATCTGACATTTGCCTTAACGAACCGGTAAAAAAACAGCAAGATAATTTCCATAGGACAGGAAAATAAAGCACCATTGTTTAATATCACACATGACAACTAGTACTTACATTAGAATGGGTAAACAAAAAAGTGCAGGGAGTCACCACCATTTTGCTGATAATAAAATACAAGACTCCTCAAATTCCAAGACTTTAATTACCCTTCAAAAACTCCTATACTATTTTTTTTTCTTTGGGGGGTTGGTGTGTGTGTGTGTGAGTGTGTCTGTGTGAGTGTGTCTGTGTGTGTGTGTGTGTGTGTGTGTGTGTGTGTGTGTGTGTGTGTGTGTATGCGAGTGTGGTGGTGGTGGTTGTGGTGTTGAGCTATTTCCATTTAGTCAATTTATAGGTACAGGAAGTGGTAGAAAATACACATAGCCGAAGCACCTTCTGCTTTTTATGAAACAGATACTGCAAGACCATATCCAACTTTATTTCAACTACCTAGTGTAAAACTCCACAATACGTCAATTTGAAAAAGTGACATTTGGTGGAGCCTTATACTGCGCAATCAATTTGTTTTGATAAAGAAGAGGATCGATATCATTATCTTTCTTCCCTCCCGTTTCATTTTCATACCCCTTTCGCAGTAGGAGCCTGAACCCTCTTTGATACTGGCCTGAGACCTCATCATGTACCATCTGCTTATCTAGGAGCTATCCACAATGGTAGAATGGTCCAGAACCCCTCACGCAGCCACACAAGACCCATCCACTCACAGAAAACACACACACGGAGACAACAGAAACTCCACCAAGCTTTGCCTGCTTACACTTCTTCACCAATCCTGTCATCATGGAAAAATGATTCAAGCGCACCACCACTCCCACTCGGCCCCTCTGCGGAGAGGGAGCCCATTTCCTCTTCCCCACCACCGCCTTCAACAACAACGGAGGCTGCAGAAAAGTCGTTCACAGTTTGACCACATTCAACTGTCGATGCAACTGAAGGCTTTTGATTTTTAGAGACGGTTGATGTCACAAGTGCATCCTGATCAGCGATGCCCACAGGGGTAGCAGTATTTACTGGGGACAACACAGTACTCCTCGCACTAGTAGCGGAGTTGTATATTTCTTCTGCTGGCTGTGACGACGGTAACTGCGACTGTGGAGATGGACCGGCGATTGAAGCGATACCACTGATAGATGAAAGGGGTTGACTGGGGCCACAGGGGGACTGGGAGCTCGAAGACAATTCTGCACAAGCCTGGAAAGCTGGTAACGGGCCCGAAGCGCGCTCTGAGGTCAATCTGTGCTGGTGACCTTCACCCAGCCCATTTGACGAAACCAAAGAAGAATGGGGCGCCATGGGAGCTCCGAGCACATTTGATGGAGGTGGAGCCGCTACCCTACTCCTTGGAAACACATCCAAACCCTGTACCTCACCATTGGATGATGACAGTGGTGCGACATGCGAAATTGCTGTTGGGGGTGCGGCTAATCCATTCGTTGGCGATACCTTCTCCGTACCTCCAGCCTCACTTCTGGACACCCTCCTAGAGAGGGGCCCCACTCGCGCAGCTTCTGAAGGAATAACGGGGACGTCCATGTTGGCGCTGGTGAAAAAAGCCATCTTCTCCCTGAAACAAATCAAACCAAAAAAAACCCTTATATTATCAAAACAACAATGCCACAACAAATAACATATGGACACACAGTTCCCAAGCATTTTTGTTTAAATCAATGCCACAACAAATAACATATAGACATACAGTTCCCAAGCATTTTGTTTAAATCAATGCCACAACGATTAACATATAGACATACAGTTCCCAAGAATTTTTGTTTAAATCAATGCCACAACAAATAACATGTGAGGCAGCGTGGTGGAATCAGACTCTCGTCAAAATAATCAAAATGAAGAAGCTTGCATTTTTCCGCAGGTTTGTTAATTTTTATAAAATTTTTGTTTTTGGCTCAACACCTTTCTTGCCCTTTAAAGAACTCATTTCTGTGTGGATTTTTCTGAAAAAAGTTGATTAAAGGCACAAAAAATAAAAATTTTCCGTTACCACGGACTCTTAAGCTAAGGAAATAACTATAACTAATCTTTGGCGGCTATTTTCTCATTAATTTTAGCTCTGAAAACAGGCGACCCCCACCTCCTTTATTCGCAAATATCTCGACTCGTATTCAAGATAAATGGATATTTTTTTCATCCAAATAAAGGCAAGTGAACCAGCTTTAAGATGATACCAATAACTCTACATGCCCAAAAATTGACGAGAGCCTGATTCCACCACGCTGCCTCACATATAGACATACAGTCCCCAAGCATTTTTGTTTCAATGCTCTTGGCACGGCTTCACTTTTCGCCCGATTCTGTTACTTTTAGTTCGCGTGACTCAGCAGCCTGCCGGAGCTCCCCGGCTTGGGATCACGGGGTTAATGAGCCCTGAAGCGACTTTGCCGGTGTCGGTTAGGAAGTTCGCATTTTGACTATGTTTAAAACGATATAACTCCTTCCCCATCCCACATAGCAAACCATTACGCGGATGTACTAAAAGCTCAATGTCTTGAGATTTATTCTGCTTTAGAATGGTTTATTTCTGTGCCTTAGTTTTTGTTCTAGACAAGTATTTGTAGAGTACCTAATTTGTCCTATTTTAGTAACAAACTTATGAATAAATGATTGTTAATTTTTAAAAGGCACGACAGATCTCTCCAAAATCTGTGTTAAACTGACTACGAATATCATGTCTATCACCATGAGAAATCTTAAATCTGTGCGAGTAGAAATAGTCAAGTTATAAGAGAAGAAAGATGCACATCTGCATTTTTTAACTAAAGACGATCAGCGTTAGCTCTTATTTTACTTTTAAACAAGAGAAAGTTACTCTGCGTTTGTTCATGAATTATGCTGTGTCTGTGGCAGCCTGCATACAACTAAAAAGATATAATATAGAATCTAAGCGATAAAAAAAAATATAAAACCGTGTAAATACATGGGTATAGATAAACTTCTTGTATGGAATAAAAATAAAGATAGTTAACACATTCATTCTTAGTTTTTGTGTCGGAAATATGCGCTGACACAATTACGAATGTAAAGAAATCAGTCACATTGTCAGTTATTGCCACATTGTCAGTTATTGCAAATGGTCTTAGAAACGAAAATTAAAGCTGGAAAAGTCTGGTGCTGATTCAGTGTCCCTGGATAGCTAAAAATTATTCTTATAACCCAATTACGAGAAGTCATCCCTATTATTCAGTCAAATTACAAAACCTAGACTTAGCGTTTTAAGAAAAGTAAGGAATTTCTGGAGTGTAACAGATGCTGTTCGTGTATTAGATCTACATTGAAGATGTATTCTAGCACTAAAATCGATTTGTACTTTTCATAGAGAAACTTCATGGTGACTTTTATAAACTTTCGAGAAAATATGCGAATATTCACCATTATATTAGAAACATAAAGTTGTATTAGGAGGAATTACTTCACAGCGAATTGTGTGCCCGATGGATAAAGTTGCAAAATTACAGCTTTCAATTATATGCGCAGATACCATCTTTTCTGAGTATCTGCACCAATGATATGTTCAAAAGTTCGACAGATTTTGACGAGGCCTTTTTTTTTATATTGATTTTTTTTCATTCACGCTAGTCCCAAAAAAATTACAATTTAGCATTGCCGACTCCAGCGCGTCTAACGAAATAACCAGACAAGTTACAACGTCCGTTCTTTTTTGAGTCTCAAGAGCAGAAATGCATGCTTTGGGTGCACTAAATGAGAATTACCATAAATACAAGGATACACCTTAAATTGTACGTTGAAAAGTACCAAAAATTAAGTCAGCCCAGACAGAGCGGCGACAGGGAGCTGACCCCCCGTGACCCCGACGTGATAAGGCGCCCGGCGGGGAACCCCCCGCAGCAACTAAAATTCCACTGCCGGTGCGCCGTGTTGGATAATACTGAAGACACAGCAAGAAAATGCACTTCATTTTTTCCCATCCCTTACATGGAAACAGGTCGTATCAAAAGTAATATGGCACAGCAAGCTCATTCAAAGAAAAACAGATCTTTAGGCAAAGAATAGTCTCAGAGTGACAGTACAGTGAACAAGCTTTTCGGTAACTTTGGCTGGGCAGTACAAAGCGTGCAATCTTGGCTGTTAGACAGTTGTGTAACATTTCACAAACATTACATATCCAGGTACGATTCAGAGTAAATTATACTGCATCATTCTGAAGAACAAGTCAACACACTTTGAAAAGTACCAAAAATACAAATAAAGATAAATCAGAAGAAAAAAACCTTTCTCAATGCATGGATATTCCTGAAAAAGTGGCGAAAGTCAAATAAACTTGATAATTCAGAATGTAACTAAGACAAAATAATATATTCTACAGATAGCTTTGATTCACAAGTATACGAGTCTGTGTGAATCCATTTAATCTTTCATACATCGCACAAAAATAAATGATTAAAATTTCAACAAGATAAATTTGTAACTGGTATGTTGTTTGTTTGAGTAAAAAAAACAACCATATTGACACATCGGTCGTTTAGTGATGAGAAAAAGTTAGACAGAGACAGAAACAACAGAGGGACAGAAAAGAAGGAGGAGGACCTACCAGTGGCCCTCTCTAACAACCCGCTTTTGTAATCGGGGAAAATGAGCCACAAGTTCAAATCAACAGAGAAAAAGATCCACCACAGCCCACACGGACTTGTTTTAGTTTAGTTTTAGTAGAGGTTTTATGGCACTCGCAACTGCATAAGGTCATATGAGCGCCAGGAGAATAGAGGCGTTACAAGAGAGTAACAAACATAAAAAAAGAAGAAGGGGAGATAGAGGTTTGACAGGAAAGAAGAAGCAAACCACACAAGAGCACCCGCCAACCATCTACATACGGACCTGTAAGCAACCTTATCCACAATCACTTTTTGGATAAAATCATTACAGAAGTTATATCCTCACCATACGGTACTGCAAGCATACCTGAAGGTGAACATGCGAGACTGCTGCGTGCCCTGTCTCATGCGTTGTACCTCCTTGGTGACCTTCTTCATCAGGTGCTCAGCCCTTTTGTCCTGCTTAGAGATGTACTCTCGCTTCTCTATGCCTGAGCTTGTCTGCTAGACACAAAAGGAGAAAATATGATTTTTGAAAATCTATTTCTAAAACTTCAACAAGAGGACTCCACTCCAGTCCTTATCTCTGTCAGTGCCTGAGAAATAAAAACAAAAGCTTCAAATCTTAACTGACCGGTCCAAAATGGCAGCTTTCTTAAATGGCTTAAAAGCCACACAGAACAAACACTAGAGAAAAGGAGATATAGGTCAATAAAAAGAACAATGTAAAACTGACAATATCATGGTAGGACTTTAGGCAGGAGAAAAGTTCCCTCTATCAAAATAACAAAATTTCAGCTTCCAAACTAGCCCAAATGCCAACCCTGAACAAACACTTAAGTAAAAGAAAAAGAGAAAAAAATTATTCACAGCTCAATTTGAGGTTTAAGCTATTAAAGGTGTCACTATGCAATATATTTAAACAGTCGTTGGGTCGTTGTATAGGTCTGATGTCCCTTTCAATAGGGTAAGTTTATACTGATTGCTTATGAAGAATTCATTAAAGTACAGAGCCATGCGAGAATGCAACTTGGAAAAAAGAATCAGTGTCAAAGCTTGTCTCTTTCCCCCTGAATGCATACAGGGCAAGCAATACAGTTGTCAATGATTAGACAAAAACTTTATGAAAAGGTTTAATATACAAGGCCTTTCAAAATCAGCAATGAGTACGAACTGAGGGACCCACAGAAATAAGAGTACGAGCAAAGAGGGTAGGTAATAAGCTCATTGCAACAGCTATACACACACTGCTCCACTAGCAAGGATATCATTGAAATCAGAAATCCTAATACTTAGTCTCCAAACAATTCAAATAAGAATTACAATCCTGCATTTATTTAAACTGGAATAGATGACAGCTTTTTGGTACTTTTTACAAGTTTCTTGTATCAAAACTTGTTTTCTGATGCTGTAGTTGGCATTTCTTGTCCGTCTCCCTTAGTCTAGCGATGGGTATACAAACTTTACTTTAAAATATCAAGCTTGATCCAGTACGGGACTGAATAAATTCACTTTGATAACTTTAACAAGACTATTATACCAAGACCGGAGACAAAAGTAGAAGTCAGAATTCTCTCAGAAAGAGAAAGAAGTACATACAAAACTCTTAGATTTCTTGAGAAAGAGAGCCTACATCCAACAATAGATCTCCATGAAAAGAACACATCTCATTTTTCTCCATGAAATAAAACATACTACAAGCAGTACCTTGGGGAGAGGGGTTCAAAGATTTAACTAAGACATCAGCCATGCTGCAAGAAAGTCAGTGAAAGTAAATTTGGCAGGGAAGGAAAAGGTGGAATGATAAATTAAAATAGCAAATAATATTTTGTATTTTGAGAACAAAAAACAGCCACACTGTTATCTCCTATCTCTCAAGCCACACTGTTATCTCCTATCTCATAAGCTTTCACATTTGTGGGGCGGGGGAAAAGGGAATTCAGGACGTTATTCCTCCGGGCAGCAAACAAGGTTCACAAGATAAGACTTAGCAGGGCTCCAGCCTTCACATGACCAGAGTGTGGACAAAGCTTAGCAAACAGTGGGAGGCAATGTTCCTTAGTACCATTATATCAGCAGTGACATATTGCTGCTTGAAAAGTTGCGCATTCAAAAGTATACGAGTTAACAGCAACAAAACAAAAAAAATGAACAGTGTTCATAAATACCTCTAGCCATACCTTGCATCTTATCAGACTTAACACCACAAGGCATATTGTCAATTAATCAGACTGATTTTTAGTCAGCTAAAAGCTTTGATGGAGCCAAAACGCTCCCAAGCCTTTATACACACAATAAGAAAAGCTGTGCCGGGTGGGGGGGGGGGGTGGCAGTTCAAGAAACAAATCTGGAAGAGCATTCTCAAATCTTACATTTCTTGCTTGGACACAGGTCGCCTTGATAATAACAGGTCAGTTTTGAGTTATTAATTGATATATCAGGTAAGACATTAAAAGAACAGAGAGCTCTCATATTGACCAAAACACAGATTCATGGCTTTCATCAGCACACACACACAAAATAAATAAAAACTACGTCCGATGCTTTTCATACAATATAAGAAGCAAAAGACGCCCACAGAATGCCCATTCAATCCCTTGAGAAAAAAACCCCCAATGAAACTAATAATATTCATCCTGGCCTAGTCAACACTACTTCTATCTTTAAAAGAGACATTGACAACCATAGTTTGGGACTCATTTCTCTGTTCAAAGGCTCTGAAAAAGACATATAGATCTAGATCAGCCTGGCAAGACACTGCTCATAGTCTGGGGACAATGAAAAAATGTTTGACCCCAGTGGTATTATGCTATGACATAGCACCAAGAATACAATCCCACTTATGATTCACGTGAACAAAGACTGCTGTAAGTTTTCAAAACCAAAACACAGGCTCTACCCACACAGTAGATCAAAATGGTAGGCATTGGCCACGTAACACCCCCCCCCCCCCCCCCCCAAAAAAAAAAAACTCTTCACAATACACTTTCCTGCATTCAATAAATTCAAGCCATTCAAAGTAGAGCTATAGCAAAACCAGCACTCCGATCGACTAATGGGCTTTGGTTTCATTATTATTGGTAAATCCGTCTTGAAAGTTCAAAATGTTCCCTTTAACGTCGACAAGTCTGTGAGGAACAATGCTAAAAAAAAACCCTGAGAAAACATTTTCCGATATGAAAAAAAAATATCCATACTAAGACCTTCAAAAACGTATCAAATAAGTTGTTTGTTTTGTTCTTTATTACAGGTTGGCAGCTATCCAATAGTTCTGATGTTCAAAGGGATGAAGAAAACATGGATACAAACATCCTCCCACTAAGCAAGATTAGTTATGTCCTATATCAAGAGTGAAAGAAACTTAAAAATTAAGATTCCCCCCCCCCGAACTGGAGAAGAGTCGGGGAATGATGTTAAGAAAAGTGGGAAGACACGGGATAATATCAAGAGGCTAGCCCAGGATAGGGAAAGGAGGAAAGTGTTCATGGCCTATACCCTGATGCAGGGAGAAAGGGATGATGATGATGCCATCCCCCGAAAAAAAAAAAATTATGGAATAACTGACCCAAAAACACAGGTACCAGAAAGAAACATGAACTTACCAATTTCTCTGCCATAGAGAGAAGGCGGTGAAACTTTTCATTCTCACTCAGCCAACTTGGCAACTCTGACTCTCCTGGGGAGAAGTGAAAGCATACGTACTCTGTGAAAGTCCCATTAACAAAGGGGTGGCGTGGCGTGGGGGTGGGGGTTGGGTGTCACTGGTTCACCTTTAGAACTACAATCAGAACTTCCCGAAAGCAGTATGACAATGTGCTTGGTCCTTTCGATATAACAAGCAAATCAACATCAATCTTTCAAGATTAATTCCGTAACGCAAACATGTGCAAACTATGGTCTGCACGCCAGATCCAGGCCATCTGCAGTTTCAGTCCGGCCTGCAACACGAATCGACCCAGTTATTGACATCCCATTTAGAAAATTAAAATTGTAAGTTTTCAGTCCAGCTGGGATTAATAGATCTAATACCTTATCCGATGAAATAACACAATAAAATCATAGAAGTGCCGAAGATTAGAGGTGTTACAAGAGAGTAACAAACACAAAAAAGGAGAGATAAGGATGAAAGTTGTTTGACAGGAAAGAAGGAACAAACCACACCAGAGCACCCGCCAACCATCCACAATTGTTTATTACGGGTAGCATAAACCACACAGATACGCCGACAAGCACATACACACACACACACAAAGGTCATAGAAACAAAAGCACAAATAAACTGCTCAGGGTACGACTCCTTCATACGTCACTTTTCAAAGTCTAACACAAGGCAATTGGAAAAAACACACACCTTTGTTCTTCGACTCTTCCAAAGTGTACTTAAGTTCTTTGAGACGGCTTATTTCATCTGTGAGATGTGACAGCTTAGTATGGGAGGCCTGCAGATCAAGCTCTAGATCCAGTGATGTGCGGAATGGGATGTGACTGGTCAGAGGCATGAAACCCACGCTGCCATCAGCCTAAAAAAAGAACATGCAGGAATTGGACAATTAAACAAGATAAATAAAAACAATAGCAACATTTTGACGTGCCCACTGTAAATTCCTCATTATCTGCAGTGGCAGCCCCAGGACCAGCAGTATCTACAAATCAGGATCAATACAGTAAAGAATTCTTCGACAGTCTTGGCAAATAAAACACTACCATGGAAACAGAGCAGAAAAAAAAGGAACTAAAACCCAAAATGGAAAAACAATTGGCAGGTAAATAAAACAAAACTTGAAGGTGTATACATCAACTCTTTATCTCCGGTAAGCCGCCGTTCCCAGCGGCTCGCAGTCAGAACCGCAATGCTGGTGAGCCGCTGACAACGGCTTGGGCACATTCCTTTATGATGACTTCGACATCAAATTACTTTTCAGCAATTGCCAAAAACAGGTCTCTTTTACTGGAAGTTCATTCATTAGATGAAGAACTATCAAAATAGGTATGCCAGTTTCGATTTGATGACCCATTTAATGAAGTTTTTGTCATTTTTAGATTTAGCACCAAAAAAGGGCCCCGGCATAGTGGGTTACCCCCCTTGGAGATAAAGAGTTAAGTAATCCCTTTCACCTGAAAGCACTGCAAGTGGTCCGTTATCTTGCTATATTCATAATGGCAAATCATGACTCACCCGCTTCCATCGTAGACTTCGGCGGCTGACAGTATTTCTCTGAAATGGTGTCTTCTTGTACAATGGCATGGAACTATCACTGTCACTGCGATTCAGCTGAAAGGAAGAAAATATACAATGATCACGTCTCCCCTTAGTTTCTGGTTGCACAAATTAAGGCAACAAGAAGTAAGCATATTTTCATTTGTTTCTCAAGGTAGAGCTTATGAGTAATTTCAACACCATGGCATTCACATCTCAACGTGGAAACAAGGACGGTAGCACAATAAAGTTCCCCTGAAGGCAGCAACTGCAACAGACAACTGTTTCTGAAAGCACTTCAATAAGAAAAATATATCAAAGAGAAGTGCGTTCCTCTTTCAGTATTTTATAAATGATTTGTAACTGTATGTTCAATAAAACTGGAGCAATACAAAGTAAACCAGTAAAGAGCTTGTTGTTGAGTGGGAACGTGCGCTTCGCAAATGCTATTTTTTATTCATTATCATGACCCATTTTCTTCTGTAAGGCCACAATTAATGCTGACATTGCTAGTACGAGTGCAATGTGACTCATATAAGTACTCCACAAAATAAATTATTTTATCATCAGGTCAATATCTGATGTTTCAATATCAATATTCGGCCAATATTATTAGGACTTAAAGAAGCCAGCATTGAGAAAAACCTCTCGGGCACAAAAGAAATTGTACTCGTACGCACCTTGCAAACATAGCCGGGCGGAGGTTGGCGGCATGCGGGTGAGAATGTTTGTGATCTTTTAATGGTGCTGCTCCTCAACGAATTCATGTAGCGCTGCTGCTGCTGCTGCTTGTGGTGGGGGTGATGGCGATGGTGGTGAGGGCCGTGCCGCTTCACTTCCCTCAGCGTGTACTCCCCAGCCTCCGTGTTGGTCTCCTTGTCACAAGTGACCACCAGCTGACCATCCTCCGACTCTGTAAAGTTGTCGTGGTCACAGTGATCCACAGACTCAGCCAGCTCATCCAGCACTTCTTGGATCATTTGCTCAAAGTCTTTGTCCTGGGAAGTAAGTTTAGTTTTAGTAGTAAGAGTTTTATGGCACTTGCAGCACAATAAGGTCATATAAGAGTCAAAGAATCGATGAGTTAAAAAGAGAGTAACACACATAAAAAAGAAGGAAGAGAGACAAGGACGATAGATGTTTGATATGAAAGAAGGAGCAAACCACAACAGAGCACTCGCCAACCACCCACTGTAAAAGTACAAGTCTTTCGTACATTTGTAGTGCATAGGGCTGCCCATCCACCTGTATACGTTTTGGTAATCAACAAATAAAAAATTGGTAATCTGGTTTAAAAATTCGTAAAATGGCCATGGATTGGTTCTCCTTCCCTGTGGGGTCACGGACAGGGGTTGTAGCAAAGTATAAATGTTATGTCAACTAAGGAGTGATGAAAAAAAAAGGTCTCGTCAGACTCGTCATTGCCAAGTTTTTTTAAAATAAGAAAGGGAGGAGGGGTGCAGTTACTGCTTGCAAAAACGAACGAAACTTTTGGTGAACTCCAGAATAAGTCACAAGCCTTTGATACTGACTGTGCATCACAACACAACATACCATGCACCCACTGTAACTAATTGTTTCGAAGTTCAAGCAACGATCCATTACAAAATTCTATCACTGGCCTAGGCTGCGTGCACGAATTTTGTAACACCTTGTTACAGGAGGGAGAGAGAGAGAGAGAGAGAGAGAGAGAGAGAGAGAGAGAGAGAGAGAGAGCAAGGAAGAATAAAATCTCCAGTGAAAAGTCACTGCAAAATGTAAATCTACACCATAATCTTGAAAAGAACCTGATCACAAAAATATTGGTCTTACTACTTACGTAAGTCATCTGTAATATGTGCCTTTCATACATGCTCCGTCTAAAGCTAAATGGCGACTTGTCACATGTGCTTAACGTTGACCAGCATAAAGCCTGCCTATTTAAACTCCTATGTACTCATGTCAATGCATCTTCCTTATTTTACTGTTCAAAGTTAACACTCTCTTTTGTATTTCATGACGATAAAAATGTTATCAGTTTCTTCTTCTAGATTCCCACACTGCAATGTTAAGATAAGAAACACAACATTTTTGGAGGTTTCAAACTCATGTAAAAAAGTCAAAACAGAAAAAAACTCACCTTCTCTTCCTCTTCTTCGTCCTCGTCATCATCATCATCTCCACCATCATCATCTTCTACACCATCATGAAAATGGGAGCCGTCAAAACGATGATTTTTCATTTCTTCTGGACCTGCAATACAGAAATTAGAACGACCTATAAATTACACATTTCCCATAACCGTTTTTATCAAAGCAATGGTTAAATTTTTAAATTTTTTGGACTTGCCAATATCTTTTCACCGAACAGGCACAAATTCATCTTAAATTTTAAAAAAATGTCTCTTGATTTTCATAATCAAAGTCACCATTATTTTCCACAATTCTGCTCCAAAACAGCCTAAACTGTTATGGATTTTTTCCTTCTAATTCCATTATCATTAACCTGAACTGATTTTTTTAAAAATTAGAAACCCAGGTTACGACACTTTTTCCCCAAAATCATCGGCTACTTAAGGCATATCTCCCAGTGTGGACTCAGGAACCAAAGTGTTAACACACCACAGAAAAAAAGATCAGAAAAGATGAGATAAGATGCATCTTTATTGCCCAGATCCTGGTACATTGTTTTGGTGTTACACACACACATGCACATACACGCGCATGTACTCATCCACATATACACACACACTCTCTCACACATCCTCTCTTCCACACACATCTCCGCACATAAACCTAATTATACAATAGTATGCTGGCACTCACAAACAGGCTCACAGTCACATGCAGAATATAAATGAACAGAAATTATAAACGTTAATAGCGTTAAGAAAAGTATCAGTTCTTACCATGATTCCTCGTGAGTGTTGAGGTTTGAGAAGAAATAATAGTTGATTCATCACTGCTTTCCTCTTTCAAAGATACGACCACTGGATGTTGAGACCTGCAAATCAGCATAAAGTTAGGAATGCAGTTTGATGCCATATTGTGTTCTATTGCACTTCTCATTCAAATATTCTCTCTTCAGTGACCATTACTGCTCTCTCCTTTCTTTCTTTCAAACATACTACACTTGCTCCCTTTCTGCCCAATATCAATACCATACCTCAGCCTCACATATCAATAACCTGTTAGGAACAGGAATCCAGACTAGAAAAAGTCCCACTATTCTGTCTGCTCTGCCAAGCAGAGTTAAGACAGTACCTACCATCAAAATCACCAAAATTACTTTATTATACCTTTCTTATGGATAACAAAAGAAGAAACAAATATTTTTTTACAACAAGAGGGAACTGGCATGAACATGCAATTGATCAAGGTCAGGCGTGTGCTGTTGAATCTGCTATAAAAACCAACTGTCCAAGAGAATAATCAGTACAAACCACCACTCCCCCCCCCTTGCATTTTTTCTCTACTACAATGACACTGTCCAAAAGGATCGCCTGTCTAAGATGAACACTTTTCTCCTCAACATTGGGGTTGTCATCTTGGACAGGTCCAACGATACAGTTTGGTACATAACTACAAAATACTTTTCCCTAGTACTAGTAAGAGTATCTGCATTGAACATATCTTCATTTTCATGCTTTGTACATTTCTCATTAATGACTAAACTGTGCCACAATCTCCCTATCATACCTCCTCTTTTAAAACCCAGCACGACGAACTAGTTGTTTAAAGAAAACAGCAAAAAAACAGCCATGTCATGGAACATTTAAGGTCAACTCTTTGTTTCAAAAGCGTGAAAGAACTTAACACTTTCAGAATTTTTTGTCCAAAGAAGGGAGAATCAGTTATACAATCTTACGCTTTGATCAAATACAAAATGGCCATGGTTTCCAGTATCTAGAAGAACTCTACGTTAAGGCAGGCTAAAAAAAATTTTTTAATTCACTGGTCAAACTCAGTATTTCAAACTCCAAAATGTTTTCTGAAAATGAAACCAATGAATTATACTGAGCCAGCTATTTTGCACCCAGACTCTATTTAAAATAAACTTTGGAGAACATATTTATTTTCACAGGTCAAGTAGAGACTTCCTTCTAGCCTCAGGTCCTTCCCAGTGTCTCACTGATTTTATTCAGATTCCCGGGGACCTGGTAGTCACCCTGTCATAAAGCCCCAACATTGTCACTTTGTATTCAACTGTAAACTTTGGTACTCAACATTCGCTAAAATTAGGAGCTACCCCAGCAAAGGCGTTAAAGAGGTCAATGAAAAGATCCACCAGCCAGTGGGGAGTGACAATAGAGAACGAGCTAGTTTCTTTCTCTTTTTTTTATTTATCTCTGTACCTATCGAAAAATACGGTAGGTGAGGCATCTTTATTACTATGGTGGTAAAACAAGTTCAAGACCAGTAATTACTGGAAAAAGCTGTAGAAATAAGCAGCCCTGTAACATTTACATTCTTTCCCTTTCAGTATTAAAAAAAATAAAAACTACAATCAGTCACTTACCGTTTTCCACTTGCAGAATCAGTACCAGAGGATTGATCATCACTCACAGACGCTGACGATGCCTGGCGTAGTTTGGCCGAGGAGGCTTCTAGCAGCTGATGAACTCTGTCTTGAGACTGCTTCTGTGGTGTGCAAAGGTAATAACAAGTCTAGCTCATTGTATTGTAAAGAAAAGTAATTGTTCTTAAATTACAAGCATTTTCAAATCATGCAACATTTGAGCTTTATAAAAGATATTTTGAACATGACATGTAGCTTTAAAACTTGAAATTATCTGCATTACAAAAAATCATGTTTAATGGCTTAACATCATTGGTGGAACTGACTCACTCTAAGCCCTAAGGTCATTGCAATAATCACTTAACCCCTGCCCATAAGCGGTACATAATCTTATCGATTTATAAACCCTTTGCAGCTGATTTTAGTGGCAAAAGTATGAATAAGCACCAACTTATTGCTTTGACCAATTGTAAATAAATGCTTAGTGTAAAACTCCGAAATACGTCATTTTTCAAAATGGTTTATGGCGGAGTCTTACACTGAGCTGCTGAAATGATTCTGAAGGTGTGAGCTGCTTCGAGTAAGTCTTCCAGGGCCAACCTGGACTGACTGGGACACGGCATATTTGAAAATACATGGTGATGCTCCATAAAGCAATTTCTACAAAACAAAAGCTGGTCTTCTGCATGCAACCATGGAGGGTGCCACCACTCCATCAAACCCCCGTGAAAATTGACACTAGCAGTGGGAGTTTGCTCTTTTCGACTGAGAAAGAAACTTTAATAAATTGGCTTCTTAAAATGACAGGCACCGCAGCCAGAGCAAGCAAACAATGTTAGTGGCAAGACCATGCCCGAAATGGAGAACTCCACAGAAGATTTTCAAAAGCTGAAGAAAAGAACTTATAATGAAACAGCAAAAACTTCCAACACACAAATCTTTTCAACTGCTCTTAGTGTAAGACTCCGCCATATGCCATTAAAAAAAGTTACATATCATCAGCTCACAATAGCTTTGTCCAAAGTATATTTATAAAGTGCAAATTCGACAAAATAGTTCTGAGGCAATGATATGACGGAGTCTTACAATGAGCAGTCGATTTGAGATTACAGCACTGCCTTCATCTAATCACCTGTTTGGCCCTCGAGTAGCTGTAGAGAGGTTTGACACCCTCAGAGCTACTGCTCGAGGAAGGTTGGGACTGAATGCTTGACCAATTGTTTGATGACACTGATGAGCTCTGGCCCTTCATCTCAGATTGCATAAAACGGAAACTCAGTACATTGTACCAGCGGACCAACACACACTTTGGGTCAAACTCTGCCAAGCTGACCTGTGCACAACCCTGAAGATAAAACAATAAAATGTAAAACTTTTGTCACATCCGTATACAGAAAAAAGCATCATCAATTATCATCATCATCATAATCAGTAACAAAGCAATGTAGGGAAATATGTATGCACTCCCATCTACAAGCATATTAAATATAGCACATCTATATCACACAAACAAGGAAAACCTTCAATTACTGAAACCGTGGCATATGGCCAACACAGAGCTACCACTCTCCGACTTTGAACAGCTTTGGCTCTGTTAACCTTGTACGGTACAACATAGAACTCTCAGTCTGTCATTCATATGTGACAAACTAAGTGCTACATCCCTTTACCCCAGGGTTAACGACTACAGAAAAACTTGAGCAAAACCCCTAAATAACGGGCAGGTCTGCCTAAACTGGCCACCAAACCAACAGAGCACGCACTGTAGAGAGTGAACACCGGCCTCTAGTCCTACGAGCCAAATAGCAAAACAAACAGAAAAAGGACTAGCGCTACTCACCAGACACTCTTCCCCTTTCTCAGCACTAAGACTCCACACATGCACTTGCAACGTCTTGGAGAAAAGCTTGTGTTCAGGGATGCTCACACGGAACATCTCGGAGAACTTTGGTGATCTCAACTCAGGCAAAGGCTGTGTCTCCCAGCACATTGTCTGGTTTGGCAGCAAGGCAGCTTTGATGCAGCTGAGGAGAAGTACAACATGCTCTTGAGCACAGGTCTTTCCTATACCAAAGCACTCTGTATCTATGTAAAAACTAGATGCAAAAAACTTCCCTTGAGGTCAAATGGGACCCTTGCATTCACATCATGCCCGAAAATCCCCTGCTTCCCCTTTTTAAAAAATCTATTTATGGTAGACTATCCTCGTTTGCAACAGAAAGCATAAAATAGAGTAAGAAATTATTGCAACAGCATTCCATGCATCAACACATGATGGATGTAGTGTTCCGGGTTTGACATAAACCTTCACATCAGGAGAGGAAACCACAGCCTCTGGACAGTTTTCAACATGACTACTTTCATTTAAGGGAGCCTGGAGCGCCAGGCGAATTATTTGAGTTTGCTTAGCAAGAGGTAAAAATTGATATCCTTCCTAGAGTCTTTGCATCTGACTAACTATTTCAACAATTTATAGAGTTTTGTTTCTGATTATTTATTTTTTTATAGTAGAGGGTTTTACGGCGCTCGCAGCTGCATAAGGTCATATGAGCGCCAAGGGGTGGGTGTCAACAGAGAAGTCTTTACAGGGAATCAGACTTAGACTGCTCACCTCTCTAGCTTCAACAGCACAAGGTCTGCTTCGACTATCAAGGCACCCCAAAATAGCAGGTCACAACATACAAAAGAAGTAGAGGAAAATGACAATAGTAAGGATCAGGAAAGAAAAAGCAGCAGTTCCCTCTTGAAGATCAGGCACAGTTATGAGCGTGACATGAGTCAGCCCATTTACAATTCTACTATGCTTGACCGAGAAATGTCCCCCCTTTGGGAATGGCCTAAAGACATTTCAGTCAGTGGCACTACCCGGGGGGGGGGGGGGGGGGGGGGGGGTTATTTCTAAGGTTTGTTTTTGTTTTAGTAACAGTTTTACAGCACATGCAACACAATAAGGTCATATAAGTGCCGAAGAGAGTAACAAACACAAAAAAAAGGAGGGGAGATAAGGATGACAGATGTTTGATAGAAAAGAAGGGGGAAACCACACAAGAGCAACCGCCAGCTATCCACATCCCTGAAGAGAAGAGATCAGATACTTACACACGGCTATCCCAGGGGAAGGGCAATACCTCCAGGTTCCTGGCCTGCTCTATGCCCACCAGAAGCTGTCTCTCCACACCTTCATACCTGAACAGATGGAAATCATTCATGTTCTACATTTCTACTTCCTTGCACAACTGCCAATTTCTCTTACACACTCTATGGTGTATCATAATGTAAAATACCAAAAAGAATTTTCAAATAGAGGAAAATTTAACAAGCATACCCCTATGTAGTCATAACCTTAGATTATACTGAAGCACGAAACATGCATGAAACAAAATACTTGCACTGTGAGAAATCAGGGGCACAGCTCGGATGGAAACAAATATTTCTGCACAAGATAATTAAAATAGAGATTCCTAAAAAGAGATACTTTAAAGATTTTCCCAAATTGTATTGCATGCTTATAACATGAGCTTTTAAAACTCCAATACAAATCTGCAATATAATTAATTATGGTCCTACAGCAGACACTCAACATTTTTTTTTAAAATACAAATTTCCACAATCACCTCTAATGATGAGAATGTAGTTCTCTTCTCTATCTAAAGCAATGTATACAGCCTTACAATACTTACATATCTATAAAGCATTTTTTTTTTTAAACTGACTGTCACATTTAAACAATTTAAACTTCAAAAGTACACATCAGAGAGGCAAAATAGTACTTTAACTAAACAAATATGAAGTATACTGAAAAAATAATTTACTTCTCGCAATACTTGAACTGAACGAAGATGTTATCTGAAAATTAACACAGAAATCAAATTTGTAGATCTTCAACTGATGCCATTTTTTTTTTTCAAGTTTAACTTATTTATTACTTCAAACTAATAAAATGTACAAATCCAACCAGTAAATTTGATGTATCAATCTATGTACACATGGCTAAAATCCGAGAAGTAACTCATTTTGTCAACAACACACTCCTCACAAGAAATATTTGATTGCATCTGATCACTGTCTGATTATTGACGCCGCATACAAAAAAAAATAAAATAAAAAGTTAAAAAACCAACAAACTTACTTGAGTTTGATCTGTATTTGAGCACTTTCCAGGTTCGTTTCTAATACTTTGTCTATGTACCCAGTTCTGAGGACATCCAACCAAAAGTAGACAAATTAGTAAGTTTTAGTAGAGGTTTTACGGCGCTCGAAACTGCATAAAAGGTCATATGAGGGCCAGAAGATTAGAGGTGTTACAATAGAGTAACAAACATAAGAAAGAAGAAGGGTAGATAAGGACGATAGATGTTTCATAGGAAAGAAGAAGCAAACCACACCAGAGCACCCGTCAACCACCCACGTAGACAAATTAGGATTTGTCAGCACTGGCCATCAATCACACAAGAAAAATTTTAGTTTTAGTAAACCATTTACGGCATTTGCAACACAATTTGGTCATTAAGTGCTAAAGACTAAAGGTGTTACAAGAGAGCAAGTAACACAAAAAAGAAGGAAGAGAGATAAGAACAATAGTTGTTTAATAGGAAAAAAGGAGCAAACCACACCAGAGCACACGTCAACCACCCACCACAAAAAAAGTTGCGCGTCAGTACTGGCTTAACTCTTTACGCCCTGAGTTTTTTCTACCGTTTCCCAGAGTTTTTCTCTAGTCACCTAAACCTAGTACACTGTCTCATTATAACCCCAAAAGCTTGCCTCCAACTTTTAAACAGCGGAAACAAAGGCTTAGTCATTACTAAAAAAAAACTTGGTTCTGGAATAGTTCCGAAAAACAAGCAAAAACTAGAACTAAACAAAACGAAACAGTTGTCATTAGTACTGGACGCTCCCAGCGTCGCTGGGGAACAGGGTTATTACCGCCAGCGTCCGATGGGGTTCAAAGAGTTAAGTAATGAATCTCAAAAAACAAAAATTCAGTGAGGCATATGCAAGAACTGATACCACTTAATGAGTCTATCATAAGCTCTAATGTCTCTAAATTAAAGGATGTATCAATGTTATTAATGTCTACGTCTTTGAAAGACCTGTCACAAGAGGGGGTCCAACCACTATCATATCGGTTGACATCTTTTGACTGCCATCTCATTTTTCAGCAATAAAAAGCAGAAATAAGGGGGTTAATCATGGCAACGTTTTAGTTTTAGTGAGAGTTGTACAGCACTAGCAACACAATAAGGACATACAAGTGTCGAAGATTACAGGCATTACTAGAAAGTAATATGGGAAAGAAAAGAAGTCAGTAAAAGGAACGAAAGGGATGATAAATATTTGGTAGGACCCTCAAACCAGACCTGTATATCACGTCGAACAAATAATGTCAATATTGCTGTCACAAAACACGATGCTCCAGTCTTATTATTCCTATTTAAGTAAAGATTCAAAGTTAAGAGCATAAACACTCAACACATTTTTTCAAAATCACAGACACCACGAACATGGGTAGCTAGTACAATTTCCCATTCCATGACCGATAACTTTTTTACTTTCTGATATCGGTTAACCCGAATTATGGATGAGTCTGACACATTTGTCGATCTTCGACATTTTTTAATTGTCTGTGCCTGACTATAATGATAATTACAGTATAACACGAATAAGTCAAACATATAAGACCCGAAATCACGCATCATTCAAACTGTGCCTGTGGTCCCGTGTATTTTCTTCTAAATCTTTGAAAGAAAATTACACAAAGCTCGAACACAATAGTCGAACTAATTAGGTTGTTATAGAGGTAAATGTCCTTTGAGGTGCACTAGCGACAAAATAATAATGATAAAAATATGGAAAAAGGCAAGGTCGGTAAAATACCACCTTCCCCTCTCCACAGACCCAGCTACGCAATTAACTGTGCTATTTTTAACACGCTGCTCGAAACGCATGCCTAGGCCCTAGGTCTAGCTAGGCTTGTATGGAGCAGGCGAGAGGAAGGGTTGTGTATTACATGATCTATTGCTTTGCCCCTAAAGCAGGGTTGGGTTGATTTAAATCAGTTGATTTTTTAAATTTAAATCAACTTGATTTTTTAAAATAATCAAAGTATTTTAAGTAGCAATCTTTGTTGCTTTCCTTGATTCACTGACACAGCCGATGCCATGCCATAACACAGTTCACGTATCCCTCAAACTACGGATCCCTCGAACTAACGAGGCCGGTCCCGACGAATTCGAGCTGTCCATATTATACTGTATTATAATAATAATAATTGTCTATCATGAATTGATGACAACTTTTACCATCCATGGAGAAAGAGAAGGTTACAGACCTCTACCACTGGTAGCTAGCATGCTAAAGAGATAGAAGTCAAGGAAAATAACATGAGCAACTTGTAATGATCACAAATGCCACAACTCGCCACAGATAGCAGAGCCTTTCCCTTTCCAGAAGAGGTGTGCTTCTTTGCCTAAACATTCAGTAAGTCGGTTCAACCTTCTTATGGCTCCACTTGTGAAGGTCACAAGTGAAGACTAATGAGTGCACCAGAACTAATAACCAGGGTTCATATTGAGCAGGAGATTTTTTTTCCCAAGACTTTTCCAAGAGTTTTCAAGACCAGATTTCTTTTTTCCAAGACAAATAACATGTCAATTCGGAAGAACATTTTTCGCCCAGCATGCAAAAATACATATTATGATACACTTCAGACTGCGTTAAGTCTAGGCCTTCTAAACTTCGAGGAAATATTTTTACAATAGATCTAGTTAAAAATGTATTTTTCCAAGACTTTTCCCAGAATTTTGCCAACTTCCCAAAGATCCAAGAGTTTTCCGTCTTGAAAAATAAAAACAACATTCCAAGAGTTTTCCAGTTTTCCAAGACCCGTACGAACCCTGAATAACAACGGTACCCACCTGCGCACAGAAGCTTCGAACACGCCGCTGTCTCCTGCGACCGACTCGTCACTGACTGCAGCCGACACACTGCGCGTATTGCCACCCGACAGGTTGTTTCCCACGCCCGAACTACTCTCACTTATGGGGCTGAGGGGAGGGTTTGGAATCGGTTCACATGAGTGTGAGTGACGAGAAACTGGACCTACTGTGGGTACTGAGGAGCTCAGCCCACAACTACTAGGGAGACATTCGTTGGTAATGTCCGATGGAAGTGACTTTGGCGCCGTATGATGTGGCTGTGCAACAGTGCCCACTGTCGTAAGAGTTGATGACATGGTAGAAGAGTGGGGTAGGGAGAGGGCTGAGGTGGAAGTTGAAGTTGCCATCACCACAGGCACTGTAGCCTTAGAGGAAAGGCCATCCAACGCTACGACATTACTTTCACTGCCCATAGCTGTGGGTACGGTATTTCTTTGTGGCAGGGGGATTATGTCATCTGTTGAGGAGTTGGGAACAGGCAGCTGCTGCTGTTGCTGCAAAAGAACAGAAGACGCAGCCCCAGCAACATGCTGGTTAGACGCAGAGTTAAAAAAAGCCAAGGCACTGGGAACTGCGGCTGGCCCTAAACTGCTGGGTACTCCTGCCGCAAAGTTAGCACTGTTACTGTCTTCAACTTCTACACCGTGATTCTGCGTAGAGCTTACATCAGTTACCATACTGGGCTGATCGTAGTCTCCGTTTGCTGCATTGGCATTGAGAATCCACAGCAAATTGTCAACATTGCTATTGCTGTTCAGGCTGCTATTGCTGCTATTCAACGGCTGTTGCTGTGGCAAAACTGGCTGCATCGGCACATGTCTCTGCTCCAAGGCATTCATGTGCTGCTCATAACTTGGTGGTGGGCCAAAGCTGTAAATTGGAGAAACGGGCGGTGAGGCAGATGTCAGCGAGGACTTGGGGGACAGCGAAGGCTTCTGAAGGCCAGACAAACTGCTACTGTTCTGACTGTTGCTCAGTATGCTCGACAAGTTGTTGTTGCTGTTGCTGAGGACGTTGTTCACATTGTTGTTACTGCTGTTGGTGTTGCTGCTGTTGTTATTGCTGGTGTTGTTATTGCTGGCGTCTGCTAACTCCTGATTACTGCCCAAGACGGACTGCATGTAGCTCGATGTGGCTGCCTCTGTTATGTCGTCATGAGGGAGGCTAGACTGGGTCTCTTGAATGGGAGACATACTGTGGCCTGGGGAGACAGGAGCAAGGAAACATAAATGATTGACACAATAGGCCAACAGTACTACCAGCTAATTCGAATCTTAAGTTTAGTTTTAGTAAGAGTTTTATGGCACTTGCAACACAATAAGGTCATAGAAGTGTCGAAGATTAGAGGCGTTACAAAAGAGTAACAAACATAAAAAAGAAAGAGGGGAGATAGCGACAATAGAATTTTTTATAGGAATAAAGGAGCAAACCATACCAGAGCACCCGCCAGCCACCCACTCGAATCTTAAGTTTAAGTCTAGAGAAGCAGATTTTCCAATAATGATCCTTTAGTCCCGGTTAAAAGTTAGATAGACAGAAACAGAGAAACAGAAGGAAAAAAAAGGCAGGACCCAACCACTGTTGAGAAGAAAAATGCTGATCTTAGACAGGTGGTCCTCTCCAACACTGTCATTATATTTCTTTAAAACACAAGCAGTGAAGTCGAAAATAATCGTTCATACAGGCGATTGTCTATGACAGGTAAAGCAACTTTGACTGTACATTTGTATTACTGGCTTTACTCTGAGAGATCCCAAACCAAAATGAACCCCTCCGACCCCCCCCCCCCCCCCCCTCCTAAAAAAAAAAACCAACATAAGAACAATCACAAAGTCTTTCGTTTTCGTATGTGTTTTACAGAACACAATAAGGTCATAGAAGCGCCGAAGATTAGAGGTGTTACAAGAGAGTAACACACACAAAAAAGGAGGGGAGATAAGGAAGACAAGTTCGATAGGAAAGGAGGAGGAGATCACACCAGAGCACCCGCCAACCACGCACTCAGTAACAGTCTGTAAGACTGCGCACAATCGTAACAATTCTCACCTTGCAGGAGTTTCTCCACTCTCTGAAGCAACTCTTGCAAGTTGACCTCCCCGGTGCCTTGACCTCCGACCTGCCCATTGCTGTAGATGTCCATTGTCGACAACGAGTTCAAGGATCCTCGACTTCCAGCAGACAGAGAGCCCAGAGAGCCTAGACTTGAGCCAGAGGACACTGACAATGTGCTCAAAGACAAACTGGAACACAAACCAAGTGATAAATTAAAAATAAAATTTAAATTCCATTTTCATGGATCAAGGGGGGGGTTTGACTTACAATGGTTTGACATATTATATAGACATAAATATGGTACATAAACATATAGACAGCTCGGTAAATACATACTGAAACATTCAGCATATGCACAACCAGAGGAAAAAGGCTAAGAGCAGACAAATAGGACAGCAGAGACAGTTGAGCCTATATCACTTCTTAACGTATCTAATCTGTGGGTCAATTAAAAAACAAGTCTTCCGACAAAGTTTTTAATTTATTCCCCCAGCTGCCAACTTTTCAAAACAAGAAAAACACAAAAAACAGACTCTACTTATGTGTCGAGTCAAGATGGCGGGCATTGGACGTTTGGGCAAGTAACCCACCTCCACACCCACCTTTCTGTATGCAACAAGTTCAAACTATTCCAGGCAGACCTATGACAATGGTCTTGGAAATGCTTAGTGAAGGCTTCTCCAATACACTTACAGGCTTCGTTATAATATTTGCAAATCCCGTTTTGAAAGATCCAGATATTACTTCAGTATCAGCACACCCATGAAGAGTAATACTTTAAAAAACAGAGAATCCATATTTTCAGACACAAAAACATATTTATGCGCTCAGACCCTCACAAACATACTACACACGTTTTTTTATGTACGGGTTCTCCATTCCTTCTATCAGTCATCTGGAAAGAAAAATAAGAAACTCGCCGCCCAGCACAGAACAAAGTTCTTACCTTCTCAGCTGTGACTCTAGGTACGATGTTAGCTTTGTTGTCTCCTTCAGCTCATGAAGGATCGTTGCTTTTTCATCATGCAGCGTGATTCTGTTGAAAAGGTATTTGTTGAGTTGGGTTTAATCAACACTTTGGGCATCATTACATTCTAAAAGCACAAGGAAGTGGACTGACAAAAATATAGACCAGTGAGAAGAGAAGAAAACCACTCAACACAATGGAAAAACTCTATATCATGATTTCTTGTTGGGGGTAATAAATGTACTCAACTTAAGAAAATCAACAGACACGGTCGCTTACCACACACGAGAAAGTAACCACAGTGGCATAAATGTCTTTGTGCCAAGAGTTGGAATTTTTTTTAGCTGACATGAACAAGTCTTTAGAATTCAAAGTGCAGGTATTTTTTTAAAGGACATTAGGTCTCCTCATGAAAAGACAAAATTCATACACTCGAGAGGGTCTGTTCTATTTTTAAAAAAGACTATCAAATTGAAAGTACTCGATTACTTTTCTATCAAACAAAATGCTAAATCACCTCTGTTGTATCTGTTTATTGGAGATTTCTCGAGCATAGTGAAGATCTTGCTCAAGCTCTGCTATTCGATCCTTCACTGTCTGCAAGTCTGCCTCGGTGCGACCTTTGGGATCAATGCTCCTCAGTTCCCTGAGCAACTGTTCTTTCTCTTGTATCAGCAACAACCTGTGAAACATCCAAAGAGAGGTTGAAAAATTACCGTTGTCAGGTTGCAGTTGACAGCATCAAATGCCAAATTTCACTAAAAACAGACAATGACAATAGAAACACATTAAAACAATTACAAAGATCTTTCACCAAACGTTAATGGATTGCAAGGGACAATATCATGATTCAAGAGTCGCATTAAAACCCAATACCAACAACAGCAGCAAAAAAAGTTTTTAAAAGACATAAGCTCGTGAAACCTACACGAACCATAAAGGAAGAGTACTTAGCCGTATCAAACACAATAATCTCCAGATCCCTTACGGCATTTTTATTTTATAAAAAGACCAAAAAATTCACGAAACCTGCACGAGATTATAAACAAATAGTACTTAATTGTATTGACCATTTTCTCTTGATGCCATACGGCATGAAGAAACAGTTTCACTGTATTTGCTAGACATATAGGTTGTCTACTACTATATATATATATAAGCACGTACCTATCTTTATCCGACTCAGGCTGGCCAGGAACCATCTTGTCTTCAATCTTGGCAAGTCGACATTTGAGTTCTCCGAGGCGACGTTGTGCTTCGTCGTACTGGAGTTGCATTCGAGTCTTCTCTGCCAGTAATCTGCTCTGTGATCTGCCAAACTGGAACACATGGGGAAAAAGGCACATAGAACACAGATGTTTCCATCCTACAAACCATTTCTCCAACCTCACTTTTTTTTTATTCGCTCACCAAAGTAGTTTAAGGATTGGTTGACCCTTTTTTAAATATTTAACATATTTCTATCTATTAACTGATTTTTTTTTCAAGGGCAACAGGTAGAGGTAGAGGTCCTTTGTTCTGTAATGTGTTCGATTTTTTTAAACACCAAAAGGACAAAATAGGGTGTTTGGAACCTTTTCTTGAAATTCTTATAAAACTATTCTACCATCAATTAACAAAAGAGTTTAAAAACATTCTAGGGTGTAGTGAGCAAATTTGGCACTTCTACTTCTCTTAACTTGGTAACTCTCATCTCACGCTGCATGAAGCTGCCCACAAAAGATAAGCCCAGAAGGACAGGTCTTTTCTGTACGCTACAAGCAAATCAATTCAGCCACTCTCCAACAAGGATTAAGAAATCCACAGAATTCACTTAGGCCAGGTAAAGGGAGAGTGTGTCCACAAGGAAAGAATTAAGTGATCAAATGAGAATGTTTTAGTCTAGTTTTCGTTAGTTTTACAACACTTGCAACACAATAAGGTATATAAGTGCAGAGGGTTAGAGATATTACAAGAAAGTAACTAACGCAAAAAAAGAAGGCGGGGAGCTCAGGACAATAGACGATTCATAGGAAAGACGGGGCAAACCACACCTGTGAAACTGCCAACCACAAATGAAAACAAAATGACAATATACCTCTCCACGCAGATCAGTCTGAGAAGCCATGTCCAGCCGTTCTTGAGTCAAGGACAAGGTGGAAACATCCGGGGAGGAGCCACTAGCCCGCTTCATCAAGTCTTCCTTTAAGCGTGCAAGAGACTGAAAAGAAAGTTTTGAAAAATTATTTTTTAAATTGGTCCTCAGATATTCACTGGAATATAAATAATACATTACAATCACTGCTTCAGCACACTAAAAAAAAGCCAGCCTCAGGGAGGTGAGATTTCTCTAAATCTGATTTCTCACCCTTGGCCATTTTCTAAGCCTCAGGGAGGTGAGATTTCTCCAAATCTCATTTCTTTTCACCCTTGGCCATTTTCTAACACAAAATCCTGAGGAGAAAAAAAAAAAGTGGGGCGGGGGATATGGGAGGCCATGGTGGGGGGAGGGGAATGTTGGGCGAGCTTTGAGCTTTGACAGACTTTTTAAAGGTAAGAGAAGAATGTAGACAAAGACAACAAGGATAAAGAAAGAATGTAAACGACAACATACAAGGGGACAGCTTGAACATGAGCAGAGGAAATAAGCAAGGTGAGGATGAAAAGGTGAGTGAAAATAGGCATAAGAAACTGAAGAGAGAGTACGGCAATGTGTCTGAAGGTGCAGATGACCCAATAACAAAAGACGTACAGTCAAAGTGTGGTGAAGGTGAACATTCAAATTTTAATCTTCGCTCTCATCAGTAAAAGAAACACGGGTGGGTAGCATGGTGAAATTCTATAAAGTTAAAAGTGCTAGAGCATCCATGCATGCATGTGAATGGGTATTTGTGATTGCATGCTAAAGTACAATTGCACAAGACTGATTTTTGTGTTTGTCACACTTTTTATTATTACTGAGCTGTCAGTGTCCATCAGTCACACACACAAACACATACCATTGAACAGCTACTTAAAAGACCTAATCCTAAAATTTTGAACTTTTAAAATTGCTGTTTCTCAATCTGCAGTATCTGTTGCATGTGCTCAAGATATATTTTGTCAAAATTCGAATTCTAAATGTGGAAAAAAAGAAGAAAAAAAAGGAGTGGGTAAGAATGAATCAGGTTTTTTTTCTCTCTTCTGAAAAATTTTGCTTTCTGTGCTTAAAACATTTGAACAGCTTGCAGACTATACACAACCCTTTTCAGCCTTGGAGATTTATAAGGAATATC